CACCTTGGTTTCGATAGTGACGTCGATCATGAAATCGAGAATGAGATCGCTAGAATGGGATGGATAGTGAGATCAAAGCGGAGATCGACAGTGAGGTTGATTGTGACATTGGTTGTGCTCGCGCTGTCGGATGCGCAGGGAGGCGACGTCCCCTGGGTCGTGCAGATCTCGCGGGGGCGGCGACCTCCCCTACGAGCATAATGGGATCGATCGCTGAATCCATTGGTACTAAGACTGGTCGTGAGGTCGACAGTGGGATCGATCGAGTAAAATCGAAAGAGGGGGCGACTGTGACGTTATATCGCAGCGCAACATCGTCATCACGCATCTTCGCTAACTCGAGGGCGTGTCACCAGCATCGTCATCATCACTCCAATTGCATTTGCCAGCAGTTGGTTCTTTCCCCTACCCCCAACCTCCTTATCACCCGAAGGGTGGTCGTACAGGTGTTAGATTGTGCTGTGCCTATGGGATTCGTGGCGATGGCCACACAATCGCAATGATTAAAAGCTCGCCCAAGTGCCCAGGAGATTCCGAAGACATTCCCAGCATGGGACCAGGGGGCCGACAACGTCTTTTGTTTTCCACCAACCAAGCTGCATTACCACTTCTACGAAAACCACACACATTTGGTGACAAGGATCTGTGATAGCTCCCAATCTGGACCCATCACGCAATCACAAAGGACCGACTCAAGCGAACAGTCCCGTGTGTAGGGGATCGCACGCTTGCACGTGGTAACCCAGAGTGGTCGCGAAGGCCAATCTAATGCATCCAGCGCGAAATTGGCAAACAGACTCCAGCCCTGGGTATTATATGATGCGGCCTTCGTCTTGCAATTCTTCGCAGCGAAATACTCGGCAAGCAAAGCGCCGTTGGTGTTGGAGTCGTCGCCGCCAATGACGATCAGGCCGTCCAAACCAAGCTGCTTGCACCTCGGTGGCCAGCCAGAGGGACCACAAAGGAACCACAGACGAGACACATGGACAGGGTCAGGAATAGGTTAATGAAGGCGACCAGGACAAGCGATCTGAGCGGCGGCAAGGACTGGCAAACATATCCGCCACCGTATTGTAGACACTGGGTGTGGTGACCTGAGGTTCCTTCGAGGTCTCTGCATCCAGTACGGCAGTATTGCAACTTCTGTTTGGAAGGTCGAGGGCCATAACTTCCCGAGTGTTCTCGAGGCTTCTCGCGTGAATGTTCTGGAGGCCTCCTGAGCGTGGCTCTGATTCCATACGTCGAACATGACTTCACATGGTCTCAGGGCACTTCCTAGATTCCTCCTGAGCGCATCGTAGGCCGTCTGGCAGGCTTCGGGAGCCGCGACAAAACGCCACATTCACTTTAACAAAATAGGAATTAAACCCACTTCAGCCTTCTCGCCGTTTCGGTCTTACGAGCGCCTACGACGGTGCAAGAGGCCCCCATGATCGCCCCAAGGCGACTTCCAAGTCCAAAAGAAAACCCAAGATGGCCTCAAGAAGGGCACAAGAGGGGGAGCACGAAATTAGATTTCGAGCGCTCCATCCCAAGATGGCAACCGAGACCGCCAGGAAGCCCCCGAAAGGCCTCCAAGAAGAGGCACCAAGTGGTCCCCAAGAAGCCCCCAAGAGGGCTCCCAAGACGTCCCCCGAGCGACCCAATCGATATCTAATAGGCCTCTGGTACACAACCCAAGCAAAGTGGCGGGTTGTGCTGAAAACCACGGGCCTGTGGCCTGGATTACCAGACTTGCCAGGCGCGGACGGGGCATTCCGCATGGCAGTTCCAAACTCTGTCACTCCTCTATCCCTCTCTCTCTCAGTGCTGCCTCTCTCTCTCTCTCTCGCTCTCTCCATCCCCCTGTCTTGAACCAAAGGGAGAATCTAAGAGAGAAATGTCTAGTCGAGGCCATCCTCATCGTCGTCATCCCCGTCATCCTTATCATCATCGGAGTCATCGTCATCATCATCACCATCATCATCATCATCATCATCATCATCATCATCATCATCATCATCATCATCGTCATCATCATCATCATCATCATCATCATAATCGTGCTCCTTTTCATCACTCAACCTACATCCTCCTCCTCCTCCTTCCTGATCCTCCCTCCTTCCTCTCTTCCCACCTCCCTCCTCCTTCCTCACCATCATCAGCGTCGTCATCCTCATCGGCATCGTCATCATCCTAAGCATCGTCATCATCGTCATCATCATCATCGTCATCATCATCATCGTCATCGACATCACCATAATCTTCATTACCACCATCATCATCATCATCATCATCATCATCATCCTCGTAATGGTCGTCATCGTCATCGTCATCATCGTCATCGCCATCATCATCGTTATCATGATCGTCATCATCATCATCATCATCACCGCCGCCGTCCTCGTCGGCGTCTCCGTCGTCGTCGTTGTCGTGGGTCGTCGGCGTCGGCTTCGTCGTCGTCGTCGTCGTCGTCGTTGTCGTCGTCCCCTCCGTCGCCGCTGGCGCCGCCGCTGCCGCTGCCGTCGTCGTCGTCGTCGTCGTCATCGTCGTCGTCGTCGTCGTCGTTGCCGTCGCCGTCGCCGTCGCCGTCGTCGTCGTAGTCGTCGTCGTCGTCGTCGTCGTCGCCGTCGCCGTCGCCGTCGCCGTCGTCGTCGTCGTCGTCGTCGTCGCCGTCGTCGTCGTCCTGCTCCTCCTCCTCCTCCTCCTCCTCCTCCTCCCCCTCCTCCTCCTCCTCCTCCTCCTCCTCCTCCTTCTCCATCTCCTCTTCCTCCTCCTCCTCCTCCTCCTTCTCCTCCTCCTCCTTTTTTCGTCGAACCCTCGACGAAAATGTTCAACGGAACCCACGACGCCCCCATGCCAAGCTCAACGAATCCGCCGACCCCTTCTGGCTCTCCACGCGTGTGAGGATCTTCCCCTCCAATGACCACCCCCCACGCACCCCTGTCCTGGATGTTCCCCTCGCCCCCAGCTTCTCTCTGGAACTCCACGACAGCCGCTGGACGCTCCCAAAGGGCCCCCACAACAACTCACCAGAACCCCGAGCCGCCAAATGATCGTTCGAAGATGCCAAAGATGGCATCCACGCGGCCCAAGATGCCTCCAAGAATGCTCCGGGACGGCCCTACCGCAGAATCCAAACGGCAATGTGAACCCGCGGGCCCCCACAGAAACAACATGAGGCCCCCAGAAGCTCTCCAACAATGGTGCCAGGACGCCCCCGCGAAAAGAACCAGGAGCCCCCCAAGAAAAATTATCCCAATGCGACCCTACCTAGGAGTTGGAGCCCCTAGGAAAGCAGCATTAGTAGTAACAGTAAAGCTAAGCTAAAGCTAAGCTCAAGCTAAGCTAAAGCTAAGGTAAAGCTAAGCTAAATCTAAGCTAAAGCTAAGCTGAAGATAAGCTGAAGCTAAGCTGAAGCTAAGCTGAAGCTAAGCTGAAGCTAAGCTAAAACTAAGCTAAAGGTAAGCTAACTCTAAACTAAAGGTAAGCTAACGCTATGCTAAAGCTAAGCTAAAGCTAAGCTAAAGCTAAGCTTAAGCTAAGCTAAAGCTAAGCTTAAGCTAAGATAAAGCTGAGCTAAACCAAAGGTAAAGCTAAGCTAAAGCTAAGTTAAAGCTGAGCTAAAGCTAATCTAAAGCTAAGCTGAAGCTAAGGTAAAGATAAGCTAAAGCTAATATAAAGCTAAGCTAAAGCTAAGCTAAAGCTAAGCTAAAGCCAAGCTACAGCTATGCTAAAGCTAAGGTAAAGCTAAGCTAACGCTAAACTAAAGCTAAGCTAAGTCAAGATAAGATGATATAAGCTAAGCTGAGCTAATATGAGCTAAGATGAAGATGAAGCTAAGCGAAGCTAAAGCTACAGCTAAGCGAAGCTAAGATGAAGCTAAGCTAAGCTAAGCTAAGCTAAGACGAGATAAGCTAAGCCAAGCTAAGGGGGCGCGACTGGGGGAACCGCGGGGCGGGGACTGGGGGAACCGCCCGGGGCGCTTAGCACTGCCCGGCCCCTTTAAGCTAAGAGAGTAAGAACCCTTCTAGGCAGAGCCTAGGTAGGGGGGAAAAAAAAAAAAAAAAAAAAAACGCTGAACACCAAATATATTCTTGGCCACCGGCGACGCTCCACCTCGAACGTCCGCTGCTGGGTCGCCGCCGCAGCGCCTCGACCACCTAACTATACCGTGACCCGCGGGACCACACATGTGCTCAAAACAGACCCCCACACACCCAACCCCCCTTAAAGGGGTCGGCGGATGTGGCGTAAGCCTAGAGAATCTAAGAGAGAAATGTCTTGTCGAGGCCGCCCAAAATAGTAACTACATGTTGTTAATTGGGGCCCATGACCTTCAAATTCTGAAACAAACCCGGTTGATTAGAAGCGAATGTATGGTATCGTTTGCGTGCTTAGACTTTTGCTCCCATCGATGTCGGCTTTTGCTGTTCACTTAGGACTTGCTCTGCGAAGACAATTCTACGATGGACTGCATGCATGTTGGTGCCCTGTGCACTGTGGTTCGGGGCGCGTGGGTGCCCCGTGCACAGCATGATGCTCTCTCCAGAACGCTGGGACACGAGCCAGCAAAATTGACAGTGGCACTGCTGCGCTCCACTTGCCATCCCCGCCGCCCAAGCCTCCCCAGTGAGTACTGGCGTAGCTCCTGTTTACGCGTGGACAACCACACGAACACAACTCTGCATACGCGCAAGAAACGCACAATTGGAAACATCATTCGCGCAATCCGTGCGCAGGGGGAGGAGAAAAAAAACTACTGCTTCAGAAGTGCAATCATCCATCAGACATGCAATACTTAGATCACGGATGCGGATGATCGATACCAGAACTGGCAAATGCCCAGAACTCACGGTTGCAAGCAAAAGCGAGGGTCCAGCCCCTGAGCGGAGCGAGCGAGGCGGGTCAGGGGCTGGCGTCTGCCCCGCCCCTCGGGGCCCCCAGAAAACCTCGCGGAGCCCCTGCTCCCTGGCAGCCTCAACCCGCTGTGTTGAGGCCCCTGCGTGCTCACCGATGCCTCAAACTGCTCCGGCGTCTCGATCTTGTGGCGCCCGCTGGAGAGATCGTTGATGCTGCTTGCAAGCCGCTCGCCTGCCTGACACTCGGGTCACTACACATCGCTATGTGGCGTCACCTTGGAGTTTTTAAGCTGAGATTCAAGGAAGCTTTCTCGTCACATTCTGAGCACTACTTCGCGTGTCAGCTCTACGAGGGTCCCGGCGGTTACCTGGTTGACGGTTTACGCTGGCTCCCAGTCCATGCTTCGTGAACCTTGAGCAGCCATTGGGCCCGATCCAACGTGATAACGCATAGGGTCTGATTATGCTTCAGTCCCCTGACCTGAACATGCAAAATGCACGGTCTCTCTCTGCGTCTTCTGCCTCGCCCCCTCTACCACTCCACTGCCGTCAGCCGCTGACGCACCGAGAAAATCCATGACACACATAAAATGCCTTCAAAAAACCAACGCAATCCTGCCAATCATGTCGAAACCACCCGTGTTCCGGTATCCGTCAATCATCAGGTCATCGAATTTTGTGACCTTGGAACTGCTGCGATCCTACCTCATCGCATCTGAACTTCACGGCCCTTGATACTTGAAGCACGCTTTGTAATTACTCTTCGCGCGCCCCGGGATCATCCACGAAGGATCAAGATCAAGATGGATCAGTGCAGGATGGATTGATTTGGCACGCCTGGGAAAGGCTCGATGTATGCACCAAGCCGTCTGGTCGGGCACGGAGCTCGGTGTATACACTCCTTCGCTTCCCAGCCTGTGGGGCGCTGAAGCGTCCATGCTCCGAATTCCTTCGCGGAGCTCCTTGGCTCCTTGGCCGACGAAGGACGTGGTATACATGGCCCAGGGTCTGGGCACCCCCCTCATGCTGATGCCATCGCCCCCCCCCCCCCCACCGCGCGATGGTCCCCCCACCCCGCCCCGTGGGTGTGGTGTGGTGCTGCGGGTGTGACGGGTGGCGTGGTCTGGACGTCCGCGCCGCCGGCGCCCACGCCGCCGTCGTCGTGGTCGTCGTCGTCGTCGTCGTCGTCGTCGTGGTCGTCGTCGTCGTCGTCGTGGTCGTCCCCCCCCCATCCCATCGGTGGGGCGAGGGGGGGGGCGAAGGACCCTGAGACCCATCCCATCTGGGGGAGGGGGGCCCGTGGGCCCAGAGCCCGGGATCATATACATCGATCCCCTCCGAACATCTGCTGGCGCAGACGCAATCCTGCAAACGGTGACGAGCCCATTTCATTTTCAACAGAAATCGCGAGAGTGAAATATCGCTCTGTCCGTCGCAGCATTGCGCAGCTAGCTAGTCCTCCGCCTTCCAGCCAGTGCTCTTGAGCTGTCCACGGTTTTCCTCTTAAGTAGACGATTCATTTGGTGCGGTAGTGCTTCACTCTCATGGGAAGATCTGGTTATGCTTCTGCCGAAGTAACTGCAACTTCCAAGTCGGGGGCATCGCCTACAAGGCGAAGGCAGAGATCAAATGCGGCGCGCGCTGGACGACACACAGTGAGAATGTGGCGGAATCCCTCCGCCTTCACACAGAATGTCTTCCGGGGGAGGGAGCCATTTCTAATACGGCCTGCCTGCATGCACCTTTGGAAACCATTGAATGTATACGAACGCCCAAGTCGAGCGAACGGAAAGCAACGCGGGCGGTACAAGGTTGACAAATTACCGTTCTGACAAAAACATGCAGTTGTGCTAGAGCGCTGCTGTCTGCCAGCGTTACCCGATGAAGACCCGCTGGGCACGGAACCCAAAGGCCACCCGACCGACTGGAGGCACAGGATACGGTTGTAGTCTACATGGCCGATTCCGGAAACCCTGAACCCAAAAATGTTGTCATCTTGTGGGAGGTCGACTTTTGCTTCCGCCAGTTTTCGCCGACCTTCCGCCGCGGAAGAGATGACAACTCCGTCGGTCCTCGAAGGCAAGGCCCTTTCTGGAACGCCTCTCGCACATGGCCGAGTCCGGAAACCCTGAACCTACAATCGCTGCGATCTCTCAGGGGCGTATCTCTTACCTCCTCTGGCTTTGGGCGCCCGAGTTATCCGGGGTAACTCGGGTCCGGGGTAACTCGGGTTTGGATTCCCGAAAAAGGAACCCGAGTTATCCCTGACCCGAATTACCCCTGATGATTCGGGGCTCTGGACGCCCGAGTTATCCGGGGTAACTCGGGTCCGGGGTAAGTCGGGTTCGGATTCCCGAAAAAGGAACCCGAGTTACCCCTGACCCGAGTTACCCCTGATGATTCGGGGCTCTGAGTATCTCCTACCTCCTCTGGCTCCCGCCAGCCTTCCGCCGGCTTCCGTGCCGGCGCAGCCGCCCTCGCTTCCCTCCCGCCGGCCTCCGCGGGCCTTCCGCCGAGGAAGAGATGCCAACCCTTTCGAACCTCGAGGGCGAGGCCCTTTCCCGAGCGGCTCACACACCTTCGCACTTCGCGCCCAGCGATGCGCGCGCGCGACGCGCGGTTATCTTCGCGACCTCGCGCCGCCGCCCTGGAGAAGGGCCCCCTTGCGGCCCATTTCGCGAGGCAAGCAAAGGAAATACATACCTTTGCGTCCCTGCGGGTGGCCAGGGTGAGGGGACATTCTCGCCGCCTGTGCGAAGCACGGAGCTCGCTAGAGTCTGGAGTTACTCTTCAGGGACACTGCCACAAATCTATAAGCGATGGATTCCCTGCATGCAGCCTCAGCACAACGTTCCAAGGCATAGTTTCTCAACAAGACGGTTCCTGATTGGCGCAACCGACAACAATAATTTAATGCCATGTGAATGCAATGCTGTAAACGGAATGTGGAACCGTTCAAGATGGTCGTCCCAATATCAGCTGCTCAGATATAGTTCAGGACGCAGGACGCCTGTCAAGTAACATGAGGTGGCAGCAATCATATCTACGACGTGCGGGCAACTAACTGCATCGCAACGCAAATGCTGCAGCACAAACCACTGTCAGCCAACTCGATACGCAAACTAAACGCACTGCGCTGCGCTGCACAGCAACGCAATGCAACGCACTAGCAATGCAAAAACAATCCGCATGCAGTGCGATGCTCCGAGCGCAGGGCAGGGCAATGCAATGCAATGCAATGGGTTCAATGCAGGCCACCGAAATGAAGTGCGACTCAACGAAATGCAGCATTAGTCTGGCAAAGAATTCAACCCTTTACACGCGAGTGAAGACTGTGAACAAGACGGCTAAAAACAGAAGAGCACATTGGGGGAGCCCTAGCACCCCTGAGCGCTTCGCGAAACGTGAACGGAACGATGCGAAATGATCGAGGTGACGCCATGCGAACGCAAACAATGGGGCCTCCGGTGGACCTCCCTAAGGGCGCCACGAAACGTACAAGGGGTGTGCCAAAACGGGCCCGAATCACCATGCAGACGCAGCCACTGGGACCTTCGGTGGAGCTCCCTATGGTGCAACGGAACTTGCTCGCAAAGAGAAGAGCACGTTGAGCGAGACCTCGCACCTCTGAGCGCTTGAAACATGAACAGGGCGAAGCGAGGTAGGCGAGGCAACACCATGCGGACGCAGCCCCTGGGACCTCCCATGGGGCCACGGAACGTATGAGGAGTGTGCCAGCATGGGTCCGAATCACCATGCGAACCCTGCCACAGGAGCATTCGATGAAGTTCCTCCTGGGGCGACGGAGCGTGTGAGGGGTGCGCCACACCGGACCCAGGTCACAACGCGAACCATGCCAGGCATTCGGTGGAGTTCCCCTTCTGGGGCGGCGGAGCGTGTGAGGGGTGCGCCAAACTGGACCCAGGAAACGTGTCAGGGGTGAACCAAACTGGACCCGAGTCACCATGCGAACCCTGCCACTGTGGCCTTCGGTGGAGTTCCCCATGGGTCACGAACCATGTGAGGGGTGTGCCGAAGCGGACCCGTGCCGCCATGCGAAACCTGCCACTGGGGGCTTCGGAAGAGCTCATTATGGGCCCACGGAACGCATGAGGGATGTGCCGAAGTGGACGCGAGCCACCATGCAGACCCTGCCACAGCTCCCTATGGTGCGACGAAGCCTGTGAGGGGTTTGCCGAAATGCACCCGATTCACAATGCGAGCCCTGCCACTGGGGCGTTCGGTGCAGCTCCTTATGAAGCTACGGAGCGTGTGAGGGGGTGCGCCGAAACGGACCCGAGCCACCAAACGGACGCAGTCGCTAGAGCCTTCGGTGGAGCTTCCTATGGGACCACGAAGCGTGTGAGGGGTGTGCCGAAACGGGCGCGGTGGCGCCATGCGAACCATGCCACATGGGCCTTCGGTGGAGCTCCTTAAGGGGCCACGAAACGTGTAAGGGGTGTGACGACATGCGCGCGGTGGCGCCAAGCGAACCCTGCCACTGGGTCCTCCGGTGGAGCTCCCAATGGGGTCACGAACCATGTGAGGCGCCATACGAACCCTGGCACTGGAGCCTTCGGTGGAGCGCCCTGCGGGGCAACGGAACGACTGCGGGGCACGCCAAAGTGGGCCCGAGGCGCCATGCGAACCCTGCGACTGAGGCCTTCGGAGGAGTTCCCTATGGGGCTGCGAAACTTGTGACGGGCGCGCCGAAAACGGACCGAAGCCTCAATGCGAACCCTGCCACTGGCGCCGCCGGTGGAGCTCCCTATATCGCCGCGTGTGCGGGGTGCGCCGACATGCTGCACTTTGCACCGTGCCCTCAAGGTCTCCCCTGCGCCTGAGGCGGCACGTCGAGTCGCTGAAAGAAACGTCATGCAAAAGCGCCTCGCGTGAGGCACGAGAAGATTAAGGTCGGCGCAGCTGGCGTGCGAGCGGGCGAACGCGAGCGAGCCGTTCCACCTTGCTGCGCTGGCCTGCACCCGCGAGCCACTCGGAACCGAGCAGTCGGGCGAGGTCCATCTCCCATCGCCAGGCCTTGAACTTGCGGCCGTGCGTCTGGGATCCGTGCTCGCGTTTCATTCTCTGGAGCCAGGCCATGCTGCGCCACTGTGGCAGATGGACAGGCACAAGCTGGGCGGGTGTGGCGTCTGGCAGGGCGGCCTGGCGGGCTAGGTGTCCAGCTCAGGTTCACGTCTAAGTCTCATGTCGCGTGGGACTGGGGGGCGGCAGAGACGCGGCGCCATCGGCGGCGACAGAAATCCTCTGGCGTCTCCTCCTTCCATCTCTGTGTGCAAATCAGCTGAGAGAATATTTTGCGGCGCGTGGCTCGAATTAGATTGAGGTCCATGACCGCGGGGCGCCGCGATCCTGACCCGTAGAGCAAGGCAGGTCTGATTGCATGCTCGAGCAGCTTCGCGGCCTGTCAGCGGCAGGCGCGCCCAGGCAGAGACATCTTGAGAACGGAAAAGGCTTTCCAAGCACGAGCTACCCTGTACTGCGCGTCCTTCCAAGACCTCCCATCGAAAGTGCAAATCGAGCCGAGGCATGGAAAACCCTCGGCACGAGGCGCGCGCGTCAGGGCACCGTCCTCGACCCTCATCTGGTTGCGCCGTCGTGCCCCAGGGCAAACCCGAGGGAGGTGCGTGCCAGCCGCGAGCTCGCAGGCTGCGCCGCCAGGCCATCGTCATCTGGCGCAGCGACTCGGCCGCGCCCGCAAACAGCCAGAAGCTGTCGGCGTAGAGAAGTCCCGCCTCGCACAGCGTCGCCTCGCCTGGGAACTCGTAGCTCCAGCCGCGCGCCCAGCATTCGCCCGGGAACTCTTCCCAGGCAACCTCCAGCACGAGATTGAAGAAGATCGTGCTGGCTGGATCTCAACGTCGAATGCCGCGAGTCCGAGGTGCTGGTTGCGTCTGGACCGAGCCCATCTTGATCACCGCCGAAGCCTTTAATCCCCTCATGATGGCTAGGATCACGGGCCTCGGCGCAGCCCTTCTTCCCAGCGTCTCCTCGGCCGAGCGGTGCGAGACTCGGTCGAATGCCGCCTCGACATCGCCGCCCATGATGAAGACGGGTCGGTTCCACTCGCGGGCCTTCTCCGCCAGCATGCGCATGCTGAAGATCACGTCCATCGATTGGTGGAACTTCCGATAGGCGCACTGTGGGCTCCGCGGGGTCAATTTGATGGCGAACTTCTTGATCGGCCAACCGATTAGAGCTTCTCGAAGGTAGTCAGGAGCGTGATCGGCCAGTATCCATTGAGCGCGTGCTTGTCTCCCCTTCTTCTTCTCCATGAGCTGGGCGATGTGCTTCGACCAGGCTTGGCCCCCGGCATATTCGGGCACCCCGCGGAAGCGGTTCTCGAAGACGGCCGCGGGCGAGGCGAGGAAGCCCGAGTCGAGGGCCTGCGGGGCCTCGGCGACCGCCCCGCCCACGCCAGGTGCCCTCATGGCCTTCATGTCGCACAGAGCCTCGCGGGGCATCTCTGGCGAGAAGGGCGGGATGTCGAGTGCATCCCCCGTCGCGCAGTGGGCGGGGTGGGCGGAGACCCCGACGGGCTCCTCCCCGTCGCTGGCCCTGAAGGTGTTGCCGTACTCGCGCTCCAGGAGCTCCTCGATCCGCAGCGGGTCGTCTTCGATCCCCCCTCCGTGCTCATCAGCCAGTCTTGGGTCGGGCCAGGCTGAGCTCGGCGAGGCGCTCGTACCTGGGGATTGCCAGCCTCGCGAAGGCAGCGCTGCACGGCCCTGCTCGCGGTCCAAATCTTCCTGCGGGTCCTGATGACATCCTTGCCGTGGATCGCGCGCTGAATGTGGTCGCGGGTGACCCGCCGACGCGCTTCTAACATCCGCAGCGTCGGCGTGAGCTCGTGGCCCTCGGGGAGCTTGGGGACCTTCCTCGCAGGCGGGCCCCCCTGCCGCGGGCAGCGGCAGCCAGGTGCGCTGCTGATCGGCGCTGGGTTGTGGTCGGCGCAGCAGGCGCTGTGGCTCCAGCGCTGGAAGCGGTTGTCGAGGCAGGTCCAGCCCATCATAGGCGCACGACCTCCGTTCCAGATATGGCGTCTCCTGGTGCCAAGGGTGAACTCCAGCTTGATGGCCGAGTGGTCGGATTGCGCGCTGTCGGTGATCTCCTCGAGCGTGGTGGTGACCTTCCAGATGTCGCGAGCGGGCATCAGGACATAGTCGACCTGGGCTGGCGGGTGCTCGAAATCGCAGTGGCAGGTGGGCCCGCTGGCCGCCGCAGTAAACGTGTTCGCCGCCGCCAGGTCGCGCTGCATGAGAAGTCTCGTCAAAATCTCGGCGCGAGGCGTGCGCTGACCGACTAGGAAGTCCCCGACCCAGCGCTCCTCGTCCGCCTGCGGGGGGGGGGGGGGGGGGGCAAGGCCGCCGGCGCGTCCACGCCCACGATCGGGTACGCCCCAGGCGGTGCCATCATGATCAGGTCGGAGAGCTCCTACATGGAGTCCTCGCACTGCCTGAGGGAGCGCCCGGGAAAAAGGTGACTGTATACTATCCAATAGCCCTTCTTGCGGATGCGAAATAGGTGCGCCGCCGAGCGCCCCCATGGCAGCAAATATCCTCGTGGAAGAAGCCGAGCCCGAGAGCGCACCAGCAGCCCCATCTGCTTTTGCCCCATCGACCCGCGGTGTGACCAGGTAGAGGTCGCCCTCGCCGACCTCCAGCCTCGTGGTCTTGCCTCAGTAGCCGACCTCCTGGTGGATGGCCACGTCGTGGTCGTGCTGCTGGCGCAGCGTCGCTGCAAAGTACTCGGCGCCATGCTTCGCAATGCCCTGAGCGTTCCAGCTGATGAGCTGGAAGCACATCTGCTCCTCGGACTCCTCCAGAGTCCTCTCCTTGTCCAGTCATTGGCCCGCGTTGACCTTGGCCTGGAACTCGACCAGGCTGAGGTGCGCGCCCCTGTGGGCGCTGATGTCGACCGCGACGTGCCCCTTGAAGCTCATGGGGCCCGTGGTCTTCACCATCTCGCCGAACCTGTGCTTCCACCAGATGATGCCTCGAATGTAGTCCAGCTCGAGGTCCGCCGCCTGCACGCCGAGGTTGTCGGTCATCTCCTTCTTCGCACGTGTGATCATCATGGCCAGCCGAATTTCCCCCAAGGGCTTCTCCACAGAGAACCACAAGCGACGACCCAGGTGATGTGGCTGCGGCATAGTGATCTGCTTCCCTTTCATCGAACGTACCCAGGCCCACATGCGCCCCGAACTCGTGAAACTGACCTCCGGGAAACTGGCACGCTTGAGCGGGACGAACACCCCATCCTCTGCTTTGTCGGGAATGGCGTCGGCGAGCGCACGAGTTTCGTTCAGGGTGGTGTCGCGGGGTGTGTCCCGATCCCAGCCGCGAATAGTCACACATATCTTGTCGCAAGCCCTCTTCGGCCCCGACGCGGCCGGCTGTGCCGACGCGCCTTCGACCCCCGAGAAGCGTAGCGGATGCCCGACCGAGGAAGCCGCGGTGGATGAGGGAGCCGCCGAAGGTCCCTTTCGTAAGTCCTTGATATCCTGCTCCATGCTGTTGAGGCGCCCCTCGTGTCTCTCGACGTCCCTGCGTACATTGTCGATGGACGTCTTCACGTCCGCGAAATCTTTCGCCATCGGTTCCTTGGTCTCCGAGCGCAGCATTTCCCTGAAGTGCATCATCATCGTGGGTCCGCCCATGGCTGCTGGCAGTGGTACTGGCTCGCGCGAGCGGCTGCGCGAGCCCATCGACAGCAAGCGCTAGGAGGCAGAGTCGTGAAACAGATGGCAGCTGCGAGCCCCAGCCCATGCCGCCGCTTGAGCCAAAATGGCGCCACCATGATGATGAGGATGATGCTAATAATGATGATGATGATGGTGGTGGTGATGATAGCGATGGTGAGGATGATGATGCTAATGATGATGGCACTTGTGCTGGTGAGAATGATATGATGATGACACTGCTGCCGATGATGACAATGGTGATGGCGATGATGAAAATACTGATGATGATGATGGTGATGATGCTGATAATGATGTTGATGCGTATGTCTATGACAATGGTGATGATGACGCTGATGACGACGACGATGACGATGGCGATGATGATGATGATGATGGTGATGACGATGGTTATGATGCTGACGACGATTATGATGATGATGATGATGACGATGATGATGATGATGATGATGATGTTGTCGATGATGATGATGATGATGATGATGGTGGTGGTGGTGGTGATGATAGCGATGGTGAGGATGATGATGCTAATGATGATGGCACTTGTGCTGGTGAGAATGATATGATGATGACACTGCTGCCGATGATGACAATGGTGATGGCGATGATGAAAATACTGATGATGATGATGGTGATGATGCTGATAATGATGTTGATGCGTATGTCTATGACAATGGTGATGATGACGCTGATGACGACGACGATGACGATGGCGATGATGATGATGATGATGGTGATGACGATGGTTATGATGCTGACGACGATGATGATGATGATGATGATGATGATGATGACGATGATGATGATGATGATGATGATGATGATGATGATGTTGTCGATGATGATGATGATGATGATGATGATGATGATGATGATGATGATGATGCTGATTGTGGTGATGATGACGGTGATTATGACATTGGTAATGAGCATGGTGATGATGATGGTGGTGGTGGTGATGATGGTGGTGATGAAGGTGGTGTTGGAGAGGATGAAGAGCAGGATGAGGAAGAAGTGGAGGTAGGAGCGCGGCGGAAGAGGAGAGGAGGGGGAGGAGGTGAGGATGAGGTGGAGCGCGGCGCTGCGATTCAAAGCGAAAACCCCAAACACAGGAGAGTTGGTAACTTGGTAACAAATCAAATCGAAAATCACACGGGAAGACCGGCTCGCGCAAGCTGTTCATGTAGGGAACGGGCTGCCTAGAGCGACCTGGCCAACGGACCTCTTCCACAGAGGAATCAGGGACCCCTTTACGGAAAGTGAGCTCGGGAAGTGGTCACACAAAGCAAACACACGACCAACTGAAGAGTTCGGTAGGCCACGCAAAAGCAAGCAGCACGAAGACACGTGTAGGCACAAAACAAAGGAAACCCAAACTGGCAAACCATTTTTCAACGCAGCCCAACTTCCAGAATCTGCTCATCTAGATAACAGTGTTGCCCTATACAGAGCATTGGCCTCTCTGCGAGAAGGGCCGATGAAATATCGACCTTTCCCGCGCCCGTGTCCCCCTCAGGGGCCGCCGCTGCTAGAGCTCCCCACGTTGCCGGAGAAGATGCCGTGGGGACCGTCCAGGAAGCCGTAGCACTCGGAGTTGGGCCCGGTGCGTCTAACGGCGTCGTAGATCCCCGCAACGACGTTGTGCCCGCCCGGGGCCTAACCGGTGGCCACACGACCAAACAACTACAAGTCGAACAACACAAACAAAACGAGCACCTGTCACCCTTGCCTAACCTCCCCTCGTTCCCTCATCTCGTTCTCCCCATATCTTCCATCTCTCTCAGCCTGTCTCTGTCAATGTTTCTGTCTTTGTTCCTGTGTCTTCTCTCTCTCTCTCTTTTCCCACCCTGTTACATTCCCTCTCCTTCTACGCTCATTCTTCCCATCAGTGAGTTCCCCTCTAGTTTCTCCTTCTAACCAACCGGCGCGTCTGCTCGAACTTACCTCATCTGTTCCTTCAACCTCTCTTCCCCTCCTCCGGCTTCGTCCCAGCGTGCAGGTTCTCAGGATAATTCGGTGCCGTATCCAGAGTTCCGTCCACAAATCCCGAGGCCTTTGTCTGAGCCGCGGGCATTTCATAACCCCACTCGCGGTGTTGGTTTCGCGAGACACGAAATCTGGCAACTCGCTCATCAGGACACCAGAAAGAACCGCCCGGGACTCACCATAGCCCGAAAATGTGACATACGCTTATTTGACACATGGCTGCTGGCTGATAAGCACGGGGTACCAGTGGCCCTTTCTTGAACTCCCAGCTGAGAGTTGTAAATCGACAAAGCCAGCAATCAAGTCTTAGGTATCCATCCACCAACTGGCGATGGCGAGTTGTGCTGGCTATCCAGAACATAACTACGTACTGGTGTGGAGCTGGACTCCTTGACTGTTGTAAACTCTGGCAAAGGGGGGCTGGATAGCAAACGCGGTCACGAACGCTACGGGCAAAGGATTACCAATAGTCACGCAAACAGAACAATACATTGCGTCTGTGTGGGGGAGTATCCCATAACCATGGCTACGAGCATAATGGCCGCAGACTGCCGACGGTTGGTGGTCTTCAGAGAACAGTAGAGGGGGGCCATGCCAAGTGCTTCGGCCAGGGCGACGAACATCAACGACATCGGCGAACAACTACACATCCTTCAATGGATGCGACAATCAAACCAACGGAATGGCACGCTACGCCCCTGCCGCCCGGATTCTGAACCCCCGCGGACGGCGCTAGGGGGGAGGGGCCTCGTCTGGTTCCCGGCCCAGCGTTCCCCTGAGGTCCTCTCGATTGTGTCTCACCCAGCCGACTCCTCTTTGTCACCGGGAGGCGACGGCTGGGGCTAATAGCCCAGGGGCAGGCATTGCACGTATTGCCAAGGAGCTTCGCCGAAGACATGAACCCTCGGCGCCCCTGGGCACATGTAGTGTTCCCCTCTTGCGCTCTTCCTCCCCGCCATCACCTCCGAGTCACCCGCACAGCTTTGGCATCTCCAAGCGCGTGCCTGGCCGCCACTCAGCACGACGCCCACCTCCCCGCGGCGGGCGAAAAGGGACATACGAAGGCAGATGCGACGGAAGCATGATGAGCGTAATGATTTCGCGCTCACAGCAGTCGTGCCTCACACCCATCACAGCTGCTTTTGATACTATCACTACATCTTGGCCCGTGTCTCGAACCCCCTGCTCCAAGGCAAACTTATCCCCAAATATCCCTGGGATGGCATCGGCACGAGGGGGCTCTGGCCTGGTCAAGGAGGGTCTTACCACGCTCCTCCATTGGAGCCGCACAGGTCCCTGGAGGTATCTCTGCAGTGGTCTCCGGAAGCTTCCAGAAGGCGTCTGGACGCTCTAACACATGCCAAGACGTTAGAAACACATTCCATTATCTTCCTCCTCCTCCTCCTCCTCCACCTCCTGCTCCTCCTCCCCCCCTGTTGCGCCCTGATCATGTGGCTTCTGCTCGCGTGGGTGCAGCCCTGGCTCCTGTTCACCTGCCCCCCTGCTCAGACCACCCGGCTCCTATCAGCACCTGCTCGTGGTACCCCCGCCGCCTCCTCACCTGCTGCTCTCGAGAAGAACGCGCTGCCGGGGCAGATGCATCGGGGGCGGTGCCCGCTCTCTCGCTCGACGAGGCAACAAGAGCGCCGGTACCGATCGAGCACCACCTCCGTGCCGGTGCCCCGTGACACGAGACCCCCTCGCGTCGAGTAAGCAAGAAAGCACGACGGGAACTGACTGCCAGTGATCGGCCCCTGTGAGACGCTACAGTCGGCCCGTATCATTAAGGATGCGCGGTAAGGATGCAAGGGCCTTGGACGCCCAATTGGAAGCTTCTCGAGCGAGGCGCGGCCAACGAAAGTGGCAAACAATGTACCGAGGAGGCCAGGATGCAAGGGTCCTCTTGGGAAAGTTTCCCATCCTTCCTATGCGGGTTGACTATACCCCGCCTCGGTGTACAAGGCTGGACCCGGGGAGGGGTCACGGATCTTCTGGAGACCACGTTGCGAACATCTTGCTGTCGAGAGACCCAACCAAATGCAATTGTGTGTACCGCGTTGTGGGTTCCGATTTCGGTAGAGCTCCCAACGCGGCCACGAAACGATTGAGAGGTGTGCCGACATGGGCGCAGTGGTGCCATGCAAACGTCGCGACTGGGGCCTGCCTTCGGTGGAGCTCCCCACGGGGCCACGAAACGCTTCAGCGGTGTGCCGGAACGCGCGCGGTGGTGCCATGCGAACGTAGCCACTGGGGCCTTCGGTGGAGCTCTCTATGAGGCCACGAAACGTGCGAGGGGTGTGCGGACATGTGCACGAAGGTGCCATGCGAACGTAGCCACTGGGACATTCGGTGGAGCTCCCGACCACGAAACGTGTGAGGGGCATGCCGAAGTGGGCGCGGTGTTACCATACGAACGCAGCCACTGGGGCCTTCGGTGGAGCTCCGTACGGGGCCACGAAACGTGTGAGGGGTGTGCCGAAGTGGGCGCAATGGCGCCATGCGAACACAACCACTGGGGCCTTCGGTGGAGCTCCCTTTGAGGGGCCACGAAACATGTGCGGGGTGCGCCGCAATGTGTGCCGAAACCGAAACATGCTCAGGGCAGAGGCAAGGGATGGGAGGGGGAGGAGGAGGAAGGAGGAAGGAGTGAGTGGCAGAGGCGGTGTCTCTTCAAACCGAAGACCCAACACCAAAAGATGATGGTGAAAAATTCGCAACGTCGGAGGCTGGGCAGTGGTCTTGGACTCATGGGGACACTGGCATCACCCCCGAAAAAGCAGCCATGGTTCGCACCTGCTGGACCGCGTCTGGCGCACGAGGCGCCGCCAGGGGGGTCCACCGCCTTCAAAGAATGCAGCCATGGTCCAAGCCATTCCATTCTCCATCCTTCTCCACCCCCGACTGGCAGGTGCACCCGTCTGCAGGGCACCTGTCTGCCAGGGTCGTGGGCGTGCTCTCCTCGATCGGTATTGGCGCCCTTTTCGTGCATCTAGGTGGATGATCCACTCCCACTCCGAGCCTCCCTCTCCCCTCGTGGAGGTTGCGGGCGCCCGCGTCCTCCTGTTCCTCCCTCCGATCTCCTCCTGATTCTCCTCCTCCCTGCTTCATCTCCTCCTCATCCTCCCTTCCCTCCGCCGCCTCTTCCTCCTCCTCACACCTCCATTTTCCTCCCACCCCCATCATTCCTCTCGTCTCCTCCCCCCATCCTCCTCCCTCCCCGGACTCGTGTTCCTCCTTCCCTGTTCTCATCTCCTCAACCCTCCTCCTCTCCTATCGCCCCCACCACCTCCGCCTCCCCTCATCCTCCTCATCCTCGTCCTCCTCCTCCTCCTCTCCTATTCTCTCTTCCTTCCCTCCTTTTCCTGTTCTTCTAATCTCCTTCTCCTCCCATTTCGTTTTCTCCTGCTGCACCTCCGCTCCCCCTCCCCCATCCTCCTGCTCCCTCCTCCTCCTCCTCCTCCTCCTCCTCCTCCTCCTCCTCATCATCATCATCAGCATCAGCATCATCATCATCATCATCATCATCATCATCATCATCATCATCATCATCATCATCATCATCATCATCATCATCATCATCATCATCATCCATCTTCCACTCCTCCCCCGAGCCGAATCGCCCGACCCGCAGGTGCTTCTCGTCTGAGACGGGCGAAGCCTACGGCGATTTGTATGAAGAATCCTGTTCAGAACCCATTCTGATCCTCCTGCTTGGGCCGCTCAAGAACACAGAGGCACGACGGAACATTTCTCGATCAGCGAAACCCATCAGAAATATAGAACTCGTCCCCAGGGGCAGATTTCTTTGGTCGAGGAACCACTGCTTCGGAGGAACAGTGCCAGGATTGACACCACAAAGAGTCCGCGCCTAAGCATTGGAGTGGTGGGGTTCTGGCGGGGAGGGGCGGAAGACGGGCCGCGCCGAGTTGGATGGTTGGATGGGGTCTGGCGGCGGTGGATGTTCACAACAGAGGATCTGATCAAGAAACGCACCATCTAAGAAACCTGGGTCAGCTTCCCGGAGGCTTCTTGGAGCAAACTTGCGCCAGGTTCGTCTGTGAACGCAGGAGGGGCGAACGCGCTCAAAACACTGGGCCAGCTTTCCGGCAAACTGGCCAATAAACGCTGTCCCTGCCTTTCGGGAGGTTTGTCAACTATATGCTCGACCGTATCCTGCAGCCATTTTTCAGACAGTGGCGGCGTAAGCCGACGTCGGGGGCCCCCACTTCCCCAACGAGACGTGGCAGGAAGGGTGACAGCGAAGCATCCCGTGCTCTGGTCCTGGGGGTGCCCAAATCTGGGGTCGGCGGCGAGCCCCGGGGGGAGAGTGAGAGAGAGAAGGCGCTCTCCGAAGGCTCGGAAGGCCGCGGGCCTTCGGAGAAGTCTTACCCCGCCTTCTCCGGAGACACAGACAGCCTATCAGAAGGCCAGAGGCCATCTGTGAAGCCCCGCCGCCTTTTGAGACGGCCTTCTCCTTCTCTCGTGCCCCCGCCCCCGCTCGCCGCCGACAGGGGGCCGGGCTGGCCGCGCCTTCAGGTCCTTGCCCGTGACGGGCGCCCCAGAGCCGAGCGTGCACTGGGGCACGTCGCAGGTCTTCGGGAAGAGGCCTCGCAGGGCCACAGGCCGCGGGCGGCCGACAAGGCGCCCAGCTTCGGGCAGCTGGGTCTTTTCGGCCACAAGACAACCCAGAAGGGGCTCGAGTAACCCCACCCCCAATCCTGGGAAACGATGAATTTTTGGCGCGGGCTCATTGCCGGATCGGGACCCCATCAACACGTGGAAAATCATGAATTCCCCGCGGCGGACACCGCTCAGGCCTCTGCCGTCGTCGTCGTCGTCGTCGCCGTCGTTGTCGTCGCCGACGACGCTGACGAAGACGATTGCGACGAGAACGCCGACAAGCCTCGTGCTTAACCCTGCCACTAAGATTGACAAGCCCAGAGGCGATGACAATCTTGGGGGTGCGCCCTCAGAAACTGAGGGAATTCTTCAGATAGGGCGATGTCAATCGCATGGGTAGGGACAAGCTCCAGGATCGTAACAAGAGGAAGGCTCCCAGCAGCGCGCTCCCACTGGCGATGCCAAAGACGAGGATCCTCGCTCAGGACCCTCTTGCCCAACGCGACGATAAGAACAATCAGTGGTTGGTGTTTCAATTGGCTTGTCTATGGATCCACATCGGAAGCACTTGTGCGCGACGCAATCGCACAAACATTCTGAATCAGCTCCGCAATTCAGTTCCCTCCCGCGTCCTACAACGGCTCCTCGGCTGTTGGCCCCGTGCCAGGGAACATCCCAACACGATGCGAAACGATGCTGGTAGCGCATCGATCCCCCCCCCTCCAGGGCTAGCAGCGATGGCGAGGCCGCCATCTTGAAACTGTCATCGGCCTCCAAGTGCTGCATGGGGCAAGTGGCACCCAAACCCGCGTCGGGAAAAGGGCCCCGTGGACCCCCCCGCACTGCGAGATGCCGTGGCGTCCCCACCCCGCTGCCCCCGTGAGCGGTCGCAGGCCCAGGAGAGGCGGGGCACGAGAGCGGGAAGAGCTGGAGGGCGGAGGGCGAGGGGGGCGGAACGGGAGGAGGAGGGAGGTACTGGGCAGCAGCACCCTCTCCCTTCCCCCAAACCTCTCCCATAGACTGGTCATGCGAATCCTCCTCCTCCTCCTTTCCGCCTTTTCTCTACCGCTGGACTCCTGACTTTCCTGGCCACGTGGTCTCTCTCGCTGCACCGTGCGGGGGGGGGGGGGCAAATGATGTCAGATGGTGACGAGGTGCAGGGGCAGAGGGCAGACTCGAAATGCAACTGCCCTTTCCGATATTTAGGGGCACGGAGACAAGATGCGCCCCCTCCCCCCCGCCTCAGAAACAAGAAAAAACAATGTACTGGACGCGGAGACCACCGTAAGTGCAACAACTGCCTAGCGTATTCCTGCCTGAGCGTTCGTGTGTAGTGGGTCTGATATGAGTGTGAGCGAGTCTGACTTACAGCGGCTGAGTATGAATGAGCCTACGTATGAACGGCGTGCCGAAGTGGACCCGCGTACGCCGTTCAGGCCTTCCCACTGGGGCCGTAGGTGGAGCTCCATTTGGGGGCACGATCCAAAATAGTGGTGTGCCGGAAATGGACCGCGCACGCCATGCGGACTATCTTACTGAGGCCGCAGATCAAGCTCCATATGAGGACACGATCCCCGTGATGCTGAACTGGACCCACGCACGCCATGCGTACTGTCCGCCTGGGGCCGTCGATGCAGCTCCATACGAGGGTACGGTCCTCTTGCAGAGTGCGCCGAAATGCATCCGCGGAGAGCAGGGGCACGGAGAGCGAGAGGAGGGGAAGGAGGAGTGTGTGAGACGCGCGGCGCTGCGAATTCAAATGGAGGACCCACCTCCACACAGGAGCCTTTTGGGGCTTGGAAAAAATAAAAAAACACTCCCGAACACTTCTTGCGGGGGCTTGGGGCATCGGTTTCGCATGCTCTTGCGCCACTGTTGGTCACTCATCTCCTTCCCACATCCCTGAGCTCGTCTCATGTTTGGTTGATTTGTTGTTGTCCCTCTCTCTCTCTCTCTCTCTTCGTCTACTGCCATTTTCCCGTCCAGTGTTTCCTGCTTCTCCTGTTCGAGAGATATATCCTATCTCCTCAGTAGGCCCTGGACCCAAAAGACTTACTAGGCAGGCATCGCCCGTCTCACGGACGCGCAACACAGACTGGCGCACCCTCGGGCGGCCTTGGAAGCCGCGCGACATTCGCAATGCTCCATCGTCACCCAGGTTCAGGCACTGCTCGCCGCCATCACGGCCGCGGCCAGCATATCCCCTGCGTCCTCCGCGAGGTCGTGGTCCGCAGAGCCCCGACCGCCTGCGCAGCCGCCGGGCCTCGGGTCGCTTCAGGGCCTGCGCTGGGGGACCTGGCCCCAAACCCCGAACGCCACGACTCTTTCATGACGTCGACCCCCTGAGGTCTCGATCCGCTCCCCCGGACCAGTTCTTCATCCCGAATCCTTGTTTGACGGTCTCGAGGCCCGGTAAGGTCCCCAAGAAGCCAAGAGTAGCCAAAAACCTTCCGTCGTGATTTATTTCACGACCCGAGGGGGTCTGGGGCGTAGGCGCATTCTGCTCTGTGAGGTGGCTCTCCGTTGCCACGGGTGGGTCCAGGCCGCCCCTCCGTCCACCGTGGTCCCTAGCTCGTCTCGCCGCGACGCGGGCTGGGACGATGAGGTGCCGCAAGAGAAGTGAGCGAGGGGGGGAAGGAGGTGTGCAGACAGACAGACAGACACCAGCACAGAGGTGTGGAGAGGGAGAGGTGTCTCGTCGTCGTCGTCGTCGTCGTCGTCGTCGTCGTCGTGCGCCGTGGTGCGCCGTAGTGGCCGCACTCCGAGGGGGGAGGCCTCCCGAACCCTCGTTTTACGCCCGCCCGAACACGCGAGGGCTCCGCGTGCGCGGCACCAGCGGCCGCGGCGCGCGCCAGCGGACACGCGTTGCGACTCGTTGTTGCTTCATCTCTCTCGCACTCCCCCGCGCCCTCTCCATCTGACAATATATCCCTCTCTCTCTCTCTTTCTCTCTCTCTCCCTCTCTCTCTTTCTCTCTTTCCTCGCCATCTCTCCACTCTCATTCTCGCTACTTCTCTCTCTATGCCTCTACTAATTACGTGTGAATCGCTGTATATTATGTACACGTAGCTCTCTCTCTCTCTCTCTCTTCCTCTCTCTCTTTCTCTCTCTCTCTCTCTTTCATCCTCTCTCTGTCTTTCTCTCTCTCTCTCTCCCTCTGCCTCCCTCTCCGCTTCCCCCTCCCCTCCATTGTAACCATCGCAATCTGACATAATTTGCTGACGTTATCGCCGTGCCTGCCGCGGGAGGCTGCTGCTTGGAGGGCTCGGCCCTCCGCAACGTGCGGGAAAATATACCCCAGTGAACGCAAAAGTCCTCCCCTGATTTCCCGTCAACCCTGGTTCTCAGTATCACTCCTCTCCGCCCCCTGCTCCTCCTTGTCTTCCTCCTCCTGCAAGACTCGCCTTTGATGGTGTCCACGAACTTCGCGTCGGCAGGGACGGGCGCGGTGTCAGTGGCCAGCCACGTGCCCGCCAGAGCAGTCGGCAGCTGGGGCGTCACCTGCAGGTTGGGCACTGCAAGTGCTGAGAAAGAGCTCACAGGCTCCGCTGAGGGCAGGGAAGGGGGAGGAGGAGGAGGAGGAGGAGGAGGAGGAGGAGGAGGAGGAGGAGGAGGAAGGAGGAAGGAGGAAGGAGGAAGGAGGAGGAGGAGGAGGGAGGAAGGAGGAGGGAGGAGGGGGAGGAGGAGGATGAGAAGCAGGATGGGGACGACGAGGAGGGCTCCTGTGTGTGTGGGGGGAGGGGCGGCGGCACCGTCCCCGGACGCCACCCAGTGGCCTCCTCGCTTGGGGGGAGGGGGGGAGAACACTGCCGGCAACACGCCCTCCGTAAGCGACGGAGCTCCGGGGTCCCGCTGGAGGAGCTCCGCGGGGAGACGTCACGGCTGTCTGCTGAGGTGGGATCCACGCATCCTGGCCTTCGAATGCCGAAGACTGCCGGCGACGCCCTCCGTACTCGATGGAGCTCTGGGGCCCCGCTGTAGAGCTCCGCGGAAAGACGTCATGGCTGTCCGCTGAGGTGAAATTCATGCATCAGGGCCTTCGACTGACGGCGACCCGTTGTTTGACTGTGAGCGCCCAGCCTCCCAACGCCTAAGCTCATGGATTCAATGTTTGCTCGCCACCGCATGCCAAACCGCACCCACCGAAATCCCCTGTTCAAGCTCAGGAACGAATCTGACGAGGCGAGATGGAAGAGGGGGAAGGCGGAAAGGAATGGAGGGAGGAGGCATGGAGCTGCGAGAGGTGACTGGGAGGGGATAGTGCGAAGGGATGGGTAGGAGTAAGCACTAATTTTCCAGCAGAATCGCCACAAGCTGCCTCGCTCACCCCCACCTGGCCTCCCGCCACATGAATAGCACCCAAAGCACAGTGTAGGCTATAGGCGGTGGTAGGCATGCCATGGACAACCATTGGGAGCCATTGCAAACGCCAGTTGCGCCGCAATCGGAACGTGCGCCGCGCGTGCCTGGTGCGCGTGCGCACCAGGTAATTACGCCATGTGCCCAAGCGTGCCCAGTGCGGCCGATGCGCCACGTGCGCCGCGTGCTGAAGCCAAGCACGCCGTGTGCGCGACGCGTGACCGCGCACAGTGCACCGATTGCGCCAGTGCACCAATTGCGCCAGTGCGCGTGATCGCACACTTCGGGCACTTTGCCGACACCCCCACCACCCCTGTCAAAGAGCAGCGCGTGAAGGCTGGTGGTCAGCAGTGTGTATGGCGCGTACACCCGCAATGACTTGCACTGGCGCATGGCTTGGGTAGTGGGCAAGCGCTCAGCGAAGATATGGTTCTTCCCACCATCCCTGCCAAACGCGGGGTAATTCAGTAATCGCACGTGGCCCGATATTCACTGCAACATGCGAGCATGAGGAGCGTAAATGTACATGTAGGGACAAGGGTAACATGCAAGGAGCCCGGCCCGCGGCGATGGGCATGGGACGCATTGACGAGGAAAGGGAGCATGAACCGAGAATTGGAATGGGGATGGCCATGAGGGGAAAGAGGAAATGACGATGAAGAAAGCTTCATCTCTCCTCTCCGTTTTCCACTGTCCTGCTACCCTCTTCCTACTCTTCGCCCTCAAAAACGCCCATGGACCTGCCGTGGAACGCAAAACCTTCGAGACGGACCCAGCCGTGGCGAGCAGTCTCCATGAGGCACCCGCATGTGCAGAAGCACATCCAAACAATATGCCATTCCGCCTCCACCTGCTAATCGTCATCATCACCATCAGCATCATCATCATCATCATCATCATCATCATCGTCGTCGTCATCATCATCATCATCATCAGCATCATCGTCATCGTCATCGTCATCATCATCAGCGTCATTACCATCAGCATCAGCATCAGCATCATCATCCTCGTCCTCATCCTCCTCATCCTCCTTCCCATCCTCCTCCTCATCATCAGCATCATCAGCATCATCACCATCATCATTAACATCATCACCATCATCATCAGCACCATCACTTTATTCATCATCATCGTCATCATCATTGTCATCATCATCATCATCATCACCACCATCACCATCATCATCGACAACACCATCACCATCCTCGTCCTTATCCTCATCCTCATCATCCTCCTTCTCCTTCTCGTCATCAGCATCATCATCATCATCATCATCATCATCATCATCATCATCGTCATCGTCACCGTCATCGTCATCGTCATCGTCATCATCTGCATCTGCATCTGCATCTGCATCTGCATCATTATCATCATCATCATCATCATTATCATCATCATCATCATCATCATCATCATCATCATCAGCACCACCATTGCCACCAATACCACCATCGTCATCCCTCTTCATCTCTCCTCCTCGACGCTATTCTTGCCTTCTGGAAACTGGAACAGGGGGATGAGTGCGTAGAACGCCGTAGGTCCCCAAGGACTCGAAAGAACAATCAGAACCCACAGGAGCCCCTAGTTCCTCCTCTCCCTTCTCCTTCCCCTCCTCCATAGAGCAGCGTCTTTCGACCGTCCACGCACCACCAGAACGCGCAGCCTCACGATACAGTGCCATGGCTAAGAGATCGTGGAAACTGCTGCCCGCGCTTGTACAATACGCAGCCGCGCACAAGAGTGACGGCCGTCCGGTAGGCTGCAGAGCAGCACAGCAGCCGTCGTGGAGACTGTGCGCGGTGGGACCCAGCAGGCAAGGCCGAAACGCCGTGCAAGAGGGAAGAAAAGCACGAAGACCACCAAGCGGGGAGCAGACGTCATGCGCGATGAAAGGCTCCTTGAGCCACCTTCGTGAACCTACACGCCCTAGGAGAATCGAGCAGCCGGGCGGCAGCACGGAGAGGCTTCTACCTGTTGCTGTCGGGTGTCTGCGCGGATCTCCTGGCTCGGCGCTGGAGGCACCGCCAGGAAGGGGGCGGCGTCGACCCAGAACATCCGCGGGGACCTTCGGAACTTTCCCATCGCCCCCGCAATTTCTTATAAGAGGGGTGGGATGCCAGGGTTGTCGGCAGTTTGTGCGAGGCTGAAGCCCGTAGCAGGCGTCGATCTGTCTGACACCACGAGCCCCGCGCGGACGCCGCATCCTCCAAACAGTGTGGGTGTGTTGCGGGCGGATCTTTGGCGGGCAGGCGGGCGAATCGCGCGGCGATCCGCGGGTGGGTCGCGGGGCAAGTCGCGGGTGGGTCGCGAGGCGGGGCGCGGGTGGGCCGCGGGGCGGGACGCGGCAGGAGCATCAGCATGAATCCGCACCGCCGATCCGCGCTGCAGCCTGACACCGAGGAGCAGCGTAAGACCGCACCGCCGATCCGCGCTGCAGCCTGACACCGAGGAGCAGCGTAAGACCACTCGGCCTTCTCCCCATGATGTTGCTGTGCAGTGTGTTGTGAGTCGACCCCTTCCTCCCTCCCTCCTCCTCCTCCGTCCTCATCGGCCTCGCCGTCCCTCGCTCCTCGTCCTCTTCGTATTCCTGCACGCCCGGGATGGGGACGAAAAGTATTGGTAGGATACCCTGACTAATGGCCTGTTCAAGCGGAACACCAGTCGCTGTACTTCGGAACCCTCCTGACAACAATCGTTCTGCTTTGGACAGCACGTCCTGCCCTTCTGGATCACAAGTGCTGCCACATGGGCAAGAGGTGCTGACAGCATGACAAGATCTGTTGTCCGGTGGGCCCCGAAACATAGCAGCTCTTGTTCCAGATGAACCCAGCGGGCATCGTATCCAGCGCGCATCTGGTCGAGACCTATTGCTGAGAGCACTTCATTGCCACCGTGGGGTGGTGCATAAAAACGACGGACCTCCCAATATGTGTATACACAAACCAGAAAATATACACACAGGAAACGACGCTGCGGAGACGACATGCTATCATCGCGTGCTCTGACACGACCAGAGAAGGGGGCGACACGAGGGGCAGAAAGAGGAGGACAAGAGGGGCGGAGGAGCAGAGGATGGATCGGAAGGCGCAGAAAGCACGACAGGGCGAGGCGAGATGGGGAGGGGAACGGACCCCCCAAGCCCAGAAAGGCCAACGCAGCACCCCAGGAGGAAGGCGGAAAAAAGGGGAAGAGAGGAGGAGAGGACAGCGGGGGGAAAGAGAAAAGAGGGGGGGGCTGCGTAGGCGATTCCGGCCACGAGAATTTCCCTCCAGTGAGCGCCGGTCAGTCGCCATAACTCGCTCCTCATCCTCCTCCTCCTACTCCTCCTCCTTCTACCCCTCCTCCTCCTCCTTCTCTTGCTCCTCGCTCCCTCCATCCTTCTTGCTCCTCGCTCCCTCTCCTTCTTTCTCCTGGCTCCTCTTCCTGCCTCCGCCTCCGCCTCCTCCCCCTCCTCCTCCTCCTCCTCCTCCTCCTCCTCCTCCTCCTCCTCCTCCTCCTCCGTGCTCCTTGTCCTCGCTCCCTCCTTCCTCCTCCTTCCCTCCGTCCCCGTTGCTCCTCCTCCATTCCTCCTTGCGCCTTCCCCCCAGCTCCCCCTCCTGGAGCACGCCGCATGGAGAAAGGGGAAGGGCGGGGCCTGGCGGAGCTGCCTCTCCAGCTCGCTTGCGGAGCCGCGGATACGCTGGGGGTGGATGGTCACCTGGGCCCGACGACGACGACGACGAACGATGACGAACGATGACGGCCTCGACTTCGTTTCGGACGTTTGGGGGGCATTTCTGGAAATCCTCGTCGCCGCGACTGGGCGCAGCTCGAAACGACGGCTGGGGTGGACCCCAGGAGGTTTTTTCGGGGAAAGACCTCAATTGACTGGATTGCGGAATAAGGACGGACCGTTGGACTGACCTTGAACTGTCGTTGGATGGTGGGACCGTCGCGTGCAGATGGCACTCGAACGCGGGAAGAAACATTGCAACAGCAGGAACTGTCGGCCTGGCGCCTCCAGCGCCGCCCCTGGTGCAATCCTCGCGCCGGGGGGTAGGGGTGCTGCGCCGACCCAGGAAATCCGCGCGGACCTCATAACAATGATGAGGAGGGTGGTAGTCCTCGCTGCGGATTCCTTCTTCGCTCCGAAGCAGCTGGCTGGCATGTCCGGATTTGAGCCCGGTGCCCTTCCGCTGGCGCCCCGTGCGCTGGCAAGCCTTGTCGGAGTTTCCCCGGATGCCCGCCCGTGGACGCCTCGTCGGTGCCCCGTGCGCTGGCTGGCATCTCCCAGTTTTCGCCCCGCGCCCGCCCGTGGGCGCCGCGCGCGCTGGCTCGCATTCTGGACTTCTGCCCAGCCCGCGGACGCCTCGTGAGCGCCTCGCGCGTTGGCCCCACATAGCCACATAGCTTGCAAACCGGCAGAGTGCACGATGCATCGATTCCTCGTCCTATATTTTTACAAGCTGGGGGGGGGGCGGGAAAAACCTTCCCCTCCCCCACACACAAACTGGACTCCCCTGGATCTGGGGCTTTGGGGCCCCCTGGGCGCCCTTGGAAGAGGCCCCCCAGCCCTGCCGCGCCCCCCAGGGCGCCTTGCCGGGCCTTGCCCAGCAGACCCAAAGCGATCAGAGAAGTGGTCGAAGAGCGGCGCAGGAGAGCCCCAAGACAGCGCAAGACGACCTCAAGACGGCCCAAGAGGCCCCCTTATGACGGCCCAACAGGCCTTCTAAACGCTTCAAGAGGCCTTCAGGAGGGCCCCAAGAGGCACAAATCTCAACATTCCCTTGGAAAAAACGTGCGTATTCAGCATCGTCGCGTTCTGTGTCGTAGCAGCGTTCACGACGGCCCTAGAGGCCTCCGAGATCGCCCAAAGACAGCCGCCCAAGAGGGCTTCAAGACAGCCCAAGAGGGCCCCAAGACTGCTCCTAGACGCAGAGGCTCCCAAGAGAGACCCACGAGGGCCATAGGAGGTCCCCGGGAGAGCCCAAGATGAACCCAAGAAGTCCCGTAGACGGCCCAACCCAAGACGGCCCGAAAAGGCTTCAAAAGGAGCCTCAAGACGGCCCAGAAAGGCGCCCAGGAGGCCTCCAAAGGTCCCCAAAGCACTTGAAAGGCATTGGTGAGGCCCGCAAGAAGGTCTCCAACGAGAAGCCTCCGCACAAGACGTGCCCGCCCATGCAGCATTTTGGGCGCTCGTGCATAAGTTTACACTTTTTTTCTCTTCGCATCGCTTCCATAACGCTGTTCCCAAACGAATTGATCATACCACCTGTCTTGTGCCCACCACATCGCCCGCATTACACCGTTTACACCACATCCTTACCACCACATAACTAATACCGGAGAGTGTTCACCGCATCGTTCACACCACACGGTCGCCACAACATCGCTCACATCACATCGTTTAGGCCGCAGAACTTCCACCGCCAGAGTTCAACACCTCACCCTTCGGGGTCTACTATGGCTCATATGTGTGGTGGTTTCATGCCGTTGGAAGCCGCTAGGTTTCTTAGAGCTTCTGCACTATTCGGAGGTTTGGAGTCAACGTCGGACTCCAGAAGCCAGTGCAAACCGGAGGGCCTGAAAAACAGATCCTGGAGTGGTGAAAACGACCCCCAAGAAACAACTCTTCCTCCACAACTGTATGTTTAGTACTTCGTGTCGACGCGGCGGCAACACCGGCGCGGGCGTTCAGAATGAACGCGGCCAATGGTCAGGAATCGGCAAGTGTCGAACGGGAATGCGCGATCGTTCACGGCTGGACGATCCAACTAGTGTCAAAACCGACGCGTAGACCGTTAAGGCACCTGCCAGCGCAGGATCCAGCGAAGAGGGCACGCGATCTTGCTTCAACGATATTTCGGAGCCTACAGGTGGCGTTCTCGTCATCACGTCATCGGGTCCGCCTCGAAAGTCGAATCACAACGCACCCGAAGAAAAATTCGGGTGTCGCACGAGCATGTAAATCGAGGGCGAGAGAAAATAAGGAGCTGGTAAAGGGACTCAAACGGAACAAAATTCCAAAGGTCACAAAAGATGACGCCAATTGCCAACAAATGCGAAGATTGAAGAACCAAGGTGCTTGGCGCGTAGCGTCAACGCAGTCTTTTATAGATGTACATGTGTACACACATGGATCTGTATATAGAAGAACTACGTCCCCCATGAGCCCTAGGACCACTGTGAGCCCCATGACGCCCCACAAGCCCTGTGAACCCTGCGAGCCCGTCGATCCTATGAGCCATATGCGCCGGAAGCCTCATGACCCCTGCGAGCATTATGAGCCCATGAACACCACGAGCTCCAATGAGCCCTTGGCACCTAAGAGCCCTATCAACCCTATGACCCACATGAAACCTATAAGCCCCACCAACCATATGAGCCGTGAGCGCTCACGGCTCCATGAGCCCTGTGAGCCCCATGAGCCAGCGCCCATGAGCCCCGTGAGTCCTGTTAGCCAGATGCGCCCAAAGCCTTATGAGCTCTCTAAGCCAGAGGACCAAGCCAGAGGATCCCCCAAGATGAACCATAGAAGCCTGGGATACCCTACGAACCATATGCGCCCAAAGCCCCATGAGCCCTACGGGCCATATGAACCCTGTGACCTATATGAACCGAAGATCCCAAGAGCCATACGAGCCTCACGAGCCTGTGATTCCCCAGAGCCCTATGAGCTGCAGGACCTTCTCAGAGACCCGTGAGCCGCACGGGCCCTACGAACCCTATGAGCACTAACAGCCCAATGATCTCCCATGATCCCTGTCTCACCTGCGAGCCCGAGACGCCCTATGACCCCCGTGAGCCTTATGATACATGTGGGCCGTACGCATCCCACATCCATCAGCCACACAAGCCTTTAACAGCCGTGCGAGCCCTACTGGCGCTCTGACCCCAACGAGCCCGATAAATCCTACGTACCCATGGGCCGCATGAGCCCTACGAACCCTATGATCCCCGCGAGCCCTATGATACCATACGAGCCCCCTGAGCCCTGCGAGACCTTTTAGCCCTACGAACCCTACGACCCCCGCGAGCCCTATGAGCCCCATAAACCCAACGAGCCCTTTGAGCCTTGCAAGCCCTGTGAGCCCTATGAGCCATATGCGCCCCAAGCCTCGTGAGCCCAATGAGCACTCTGAGCAATATGCGCCCACAGCCACTCGAGCCCCATGAGCCACACGAGCCCCCGAGATGATCACTATGAACCATATGAGCTACATGCAGCCAGAGGCCCTTGCGCCTTATGAGTCGTATGAACCCTAGGAACGACATGCGCCCAACGCACCATAAGCAACACGAAGCATAACGATGTGCCCCATGATGTCCATGAGCCCTATGAGCCATGTGCGCCCGAAGCCTCGTGAACCCCATGCGACATATGCGCCCAAGGCCCTATGAGCCCTATGAGCCACACGACCCACCACGGTGAGCCTATGGCCCCGACTACAGTCGCGAGGACCCCCCTCAAAATGAAAGCCTCGTGGGCGCTGCGAGTCCCAACCAGAGAAGTTGTACACGGGAGCAGCCAATGTCATCGCAACGATGGGTACTTCAATTTGAATCGGGTTGGGAAGCCCAACCAACAGCTTCGCCGCTCCGCTGTAGCGTAGTAGCGATATTCCCAGTAGTATGGGGGGAGCCATCTCAAGCACTATTTCGGTATCAATTGCAAATAGTACACCTCGCGCTGAGGTGTAGTCAGATCTGGGCGGCCGGCCGCTTGAGCCACGAGGCCGCGGGCACACTTTCGCGTCCGCTCCCTATGTACCCCAACTCACTTTAGAGTCGGGGGGGGGGGGAGGGAAACGAGACGTGGGTCCGCCGCCCCTATACAGCAGGCGCAGCAGCTACTACCTTCAACAGAACAGCAAAAGGGCGGGGCCGTAAGGAAGGTGGACCCACACGCAAGTTGCCTTGCCTGTACTGTTCTGTACACAGAGATACTCCTCAGGCGGCAGCAGAACAAAATGTCTGGCCAGCCCGATAGGGAGTATGACTCTTTAAGTCATGTTTGAACGGCTGTATACCTCCCATGAACTGTAGGAGCATCTCCCTGTCGATGCTCCCCTTGGTGTGACCGTCCGCAATCATATCGCGGGTGTCGCACCACTGAATACTGTGCACGATTCCGCGCTCCATCATCTGTAGTATCCAACTGATGTGTCCTAAAAGGGTACACTCAGTCGGCTTCTTCAAGTCTTTGTTTGGCAAAGACATAAGCACAGACTCAGCATTTATGGTCAAAGTGACCTTGATGCTCAGGCCACCCAACTCAAGTATGTCTTTCAACTGAGTGGGTTTGAGCGGCCCTGCGTGGAGCTCGTGCAGAGTCACGACCGTGGGATAACTGTCCTCCAAATTATGGGCAGCTGCTAGTGTCTCTGCTCAATAGCTCGAGCGGATTTGCTAGCGGTGAGACTTGCAGTGCGCGTCGATCAAGTGGACGACGGGTTTACCAGATGGCGTGCTTCCACGCCGTAGCAGGTTTGCCCCGCGAATACCATAGCACTTGACGTCGTCATCGGCGTCTCCACTCAGGCGTCCGTAACCTGAGTCGCTGTGCAGGTCGACCTCGCCCGTAAGGGGCCATCGCCTGATAGTCGATCTTCTTGGGACAGGCCTGCAGTTTCCTGGTGATCGCGTTCAGTCGTCGCACTTGTATATTTGTCGGTTCTTGGACGCGTTGTAGAGATACTACATTCACCATCAACCACA